TTTGAGAACAAGTTACCAGGCAACAACCAACATGGTTTTCTTGGAGACACATCATGCCAGCCCCTCCGACCGAGTGACAAGTCAGGTAGATAAAGGGGAAATGAGAGATGTAATCTTACAGACTTCTGTTAGTCTCCCGATTCTGTCCCTTGTGACATTCTCATCAGCGGGCTGGGAAGATGCGAGCAGGCACACCACACCCAACGGGCGGTTATCGCTGGTGCGCTGTCAACCTGGGGACGTCTAACAAGTGATGTTCCACAGGTGTCCACCTATCCACCAGGATTATTTAATATCTCTATCAATGAGATATTAAGAGAGAGCTTCCTGTGCCCACTGAGCCAGGCTGGAATCAAATTCCAGGGTCTCCCTATCACCATCCTGTATCATTACTTCTTTTATTACCCAACATGTAGTCTCATGGTTCATCTGCGCAGAAGGAAGACAAAAATCTGGGAAGGTAAATGAACGGAGACAGACAGAAACTTCACTCTGCCGTGGCACCACTACCCACGCAGGCCCTTCCTGGACTCACAGCTACTCACACTGGATTTTTGTTTTTTCATTTAATGGCACATGATGATGCACACCACACTTAAAGGAAGATAACACAAAACAATTCCAGGAATCCCCGAACCCAGATTTTAAAATCATTTTAATGATTTTTAAATTATTTCAGCTTCTAAATTGCCATCAGCCAGATGAAGGAGGTGGAAAATAATTCTAAAAATCAGATACAGTTGCCGGATGTGGTGGCTTACGCCTGTAATCCCAGCACTTTGGGAGGCTGAGGCGAGTGGATCACAAGGTCAGGAGATCGAGACCATCCTGGCTAACACAGTGAAACCCCGCCTCTACTAAAAATACAAAAAAACTTACCCGGGTGTCATGGCAGGCGCCTACAGTACCAGCTACTCGGGAGGCTGAGGCAGGAGAATGGCGTGAACCTGCGAGGTGGGCGCAGTAGGAGTAAATGCTACTGCACCCATCTATTTAAAGAATACTTCTAGCTGGGCACAGTGGCCCATGCCTGTAATTCTAGCACTTTGGGAGGCCAAGGTGGGCAGATCACCTGAGGTCAGGGACGCGAAGAAACTCTCAGTCTGGAATCAGCCCACAGGTCTGCAGCTACAAAAATCATCTCCAAAACATGAGATTTTAGAGATCCAGTTCTCAATGTTACCTTGAAGATGACAATTTACGAAGAAACAGGTGATTTTAATCTGAAATTGCCAGAAAACAAACAAATGATTCCTCAAAAGCCCTTGGAAAGTAATGATAAGATAGCTAGGCAGAAAAAAAAAAAAAAAGATTTTGCAAAACTAAACTTAATGCGTTTTCATCTAGACCTGAATTAAAAATAAAATTCCACTATAAAAAGAATTTTTCAAAATGTTAGGCCCAAGAATATGGCCATATTGTTCCATCTTGAAGAACCCAGTTGAAGAACCCAGTTGATTCAGTTTTATTACTGGCCTCCCCGCTCTTCTAAGTAAGTCCCTCACTATAAACATTTACGAATTCCATCTCAGCATTAGTACTAAACAATATTCATTAAGAATCCCGCCAAAGTGCAACATGTAAGTAAATCAAACCTTTGATGCTCTATTTTGCAAATTTCATGGGCCACTAGGGATAATTAAAAGGGCAATTATATAAAGTTGGTGCAGTTTTGAGAAACAAATGACATTTTCTGCTTTAAAGCACTTGATAATTTGATATTTTGCTATTAGGGCCTTCATGTGTACTTTTATAGACAGGCAGCCAAATAAACAATAAATGTTCCTTAACAGCCTCTAATGATTGTTTTTGCCCACTGATATCACTCACCATTCCAGTCCATAAATCAGACGCTAAGAGATAAAGGTAAAGATAATGAAAAAGTATTAGAAACCATTAAGCTAGAGGCGGGGAGAAAAAGGCTGAAAGTGTTGATTTCTTCTATACTTTTTGCCAAAGCACCTTGCAAAGTCGGAGTTTCCGAGTGCTGGAGTGGGTTCGGTTTGTCACTGTGTTTAACCACCGCTCTGAAGCCAGCAAAGTACATTACAGCTCATGAAAAATACAGCGAAGAAACTGCTCGTGGCAGAAGCATTTAACTTCCTTGTTAGCAGCCTCCCCAAGTGGCACTTTTTCACCAGCAAGTTGTTTATTATGTTCGGTGCCAGGCAAAACTGATTAAATGGGGCTCTTAAGAATCAAAGCGTTATAAATTCATGGAAATACAGCAAGCAATAAATTCCATGGAATTAAAAGCTTACTAGTGCTATTAGCATTTCAGGGTGTTTGAACTGTTAATACTGATGTGCAAAAATGATGTGCCTCTAAGACAAGGCGGACCACAGCAACATAAGTGAGTGGCTCTAAAAAAATTTTATCAAAGTGTCACTGGGACCTGGCAGTTGTTAAAGATACAGGAATGGAGGAGGGGAGTAATTACCTTCAAAATTCTCATTTGCCCTAAAAAGTCAATCCCACAGAAGAAAGAAGGCGCCAAATAAAGGTTTACACACAGGAGAAGAATAAGCATAAAAATATTATGCAAAGGATTTATGCTTCAAGTGAATGAAAATTTCGTCTTAACAACCAAGAGGGATGAGAGTTTTATCCTGTAACCAGGTCTTAGCAGGGATGGGGCCCAACATGTTTTAACTGGGTTGATCCTGATCTTCTTACAGGACAGATAACCCCAGATCAGGTCCTCAAAAAGTTACCAAGTGGAGTGGACACTTTGGCCAATAAATTTCTCTGGTTTGTCATGTTTCACCTTCAACTCTTTCTGGGGGGCAACATTATAAAGTCTTATTCTAAAGTGAAAAGGGGGAAAATCAGTTATTATGCCATTCGGCAAGTGATATTCTCCCTCCCAGGTGCAAGATATGAAGTAAATGCTACTGCACCCAGAATACTTCTAACTGGGCGCAGTGGCTCACGCCTGTAATCCCAGCACTTTGGGAGGCTAAGGTGGGCAGATCACCTGAGGTCAGGAGTTTGAGACCAGCCTGGCCAATATGGTGAAACCTTGACTCTACTAAAAATACAAAATCAGCCGGGTGTACTGGAGCACACCTGTAATCTCAGCTACTTGGGAGGCTGAGGCAGGAGAATTGCTTGAACCTGGGAGGTGGAGGTTGCAGTGAGCTGAGATAATGCCACTGCACTCCAGTCTTGGTGACAAAAGCGAGACTCCGTTTCAAAAAAAAGAATACTTCCTTCCAACAGAAACATATCTAAAGATCTGTGGTAGGCAAATAACAAATGTAGGGAGAGAGAAAAGACAAAAAGTTAACAAAGGCTTCTTAATTAATTTTGTTGATAAAAAGTGTAAAGATAATTTTACTTTTTTGGTAAAAGAAAGAACTGCCGCCCACCAATTCGGTGTGATCACTTGAAAACACAACTTAAGAGAAAATTCACTGTAAATCTGGAATTACCAGATTTCAGGAAAAAAACCAATCCAAAGCTGTCAATCTAGACAGACATCCAAACACCTATTCATCCACTCCAGAGATGGCCAAAAAAGTACTGTTTTTTTAACACATCAAGAGAACTTAATTCCTTTGATAAAAGAACCACACATGTAATAGAATCTACTGATGGATCACTGGTACATATGATTATCTCCGGGGCTATGTTCCACAAGTGAATATAACATTTGTACTCACTGAAGCTGTCTGCTGCTTCCCTACAGAGAGACAGAGCCTGCTCACGCACCAAAAAATAGAAAGGAGACAAAGAGGAAAAACCTTACAGGGAGAAACTCATAACCACTAATGTGCTTTCACTGGGCTTAAGTCCAAAGCCATGCATTGTTACAGAAGCAACATTTTACAGGGTGTCTGAATTGTTAAAACTGCTGTCCAAAATGGTTCTGCCTCTAGGACAAGACCTACTATGTGCAAAATATTGGCAGGGGCGATGAATACATATAAGCCATTGTTCTTGTACTCAGAAAAGCTTAAGAGTCTCACTGGGGAAATAATCAATTATAAAGCACCTATTATACATTCTAAATCAGGAATCAAAAGAGTCTTAATAGACAGGTTCTCTACCCACTGGGATTTTAGAGTGACTTGAAGATAAGGCATACACCCAAAAAACCACCACCGAACAAGGCAGTATTATATCTATCAACATTCTATACACGTGGAATAATGGGGTTCTTTTGTGCAAAAAAATCACCACTTACAGGAGAAGCAAGAGTCAAAGTTTGATAAATAGATTAATAGGGAAAATTCAGCAATGAAAATGAGAAATAATATGCACAATTTTCTCCCAGCAGTGTCCTTGGCATCCTGGGTGGGTCAACTTCGATGTCCTCCTGAGGCTCCGTGTAGGACTATACTCAACAGTGGTGAGCAAAACCAATATGGCCCTTACTGTATTGCTCCCATGGGTCTTGCAACATACTAGGGGTGGGGGATTTGCGGAGGACAAGTAGCAGAAGGTGGCCTCAGTAATAGAGAAGACCTAGAAGCTTCCATGCCTGTGTCCCTCATTTATCCCCCGATCCCCCACCCCGGGTACCTGATCCCCTGCTCTTCTCACACAGGTCTCTAGTTCCTTGTGTTCCTTCAAAACTAGAAATTCATTTCTCAGTCCTTTATTCTCACTGACTAGCAAGCCTTTAATGTCACTGGGCTGCAGTTAAGCCTTACGCCAAAGAGAAGACACTCATATTTTCCACTTTCCCTAACTAACTGGGAGAAAGAGCTCTGCTCCTTATTAGGGTCACCTGACCTTGGTTCATTTTTTTGACTGAAAAGTCTTATCAGGATTGCTGCAGATACCTTTTCAAGAGTGACGTCTCTTCCAGAGCTGCTAGGGGAAAGCTCAGGTCTAGCTTATTTCTGGACCTGGAGGCAACTGTCTCAAGGCCATGGTCTTCCTTGGTTTGGAAGGTGCAGCATCTGGAGAAGGGAAATTGCTCTGTCCCTCCCCCAGGAGGGCCTCCTCACTTCTCACTATACACGAATTAGGACTAAGGAGAGGCCTCACACTCGTGTGTGCGCATCCATCCGGCTCCCTCTGTGCTGTTCAATCCTCTCTTGTACAACGAGCAGAGGCAGTAAGGTGTACATCCTTCTTCCTTCTGGTCCTTGTGTCCCATGGGGTCCACTTAAGAGTGGCCGGATTCAGGTTTGTGTGAGGAATCAGCTCAGTGCGAATTCATGTTCAGTTTCCAAGAAATACCGGCAATGAGGCACTGGGAAGGAACAAGGCCAACTAACAATCAAATGATAATTTGCATCCGGCCCTGTCCTCCTTCAGACATGTCTGGCTTATGTGGAGTAATGTCATCTGATGCTTACACCGCTGTAACCGAATTGGACTCCCACCTCCAATACGTGCTCAGGCCCTCACTTTCCTCCTCGCTACCACAGTCCTAACTCAGCTGCTTCCTTCTCTCCTCTAATCCCCTTGCCTTGGCAGGTTCAAGACTCCTGTATTGTGTGTTCTAGCACAAAAGTTGGTTGATATTTTCAAACGTGCCCATCCCCCTTCAGTCTTCCTTGAATGCAGCCCTACGCCGCCTCCATTATTTCAGTATCTGAGAACAAAGTTTCTGATGACAAAGTCTGTCCTTGGAACACAACCCTTTGCTAATCGGGGGACGACTGCTTGATAATAGGGCACTAACTGTGCAGCCCAGACAATGAGCAAAAAAAGAAACTAGGGGGAGGGAGAAAAATAAATAACAATACGAAGTAATAAATGACTTCATGCCAAATGCATGGCAAAGGAATCAAATGCTCTACTATTCTGAGCACTGAGTGATTTCCGTGAAAGGGCTGGTCGTGGATGGTGGCTACAGAATGAGAAGAGGGCAGCGCAAGGGCCATTGTGAGGCTAGATAAATACAACTTGATGATAATTCAAACTGTCTGCTCGTGCTCTTCTCAGACTGGAATGGCTTCACCCAATCCCTCTAACCTGTCTACTGAAGAAGTCCTACTCCTCCCAGGAGCCTTCACTGCAGGGTTACCTCCCTCAGGAGTCTTCCCCTAATTTTCCCAAGTAGAAAGGAAGGAGCCCTCCCTTCCAATTCATTGGGTCGAATATTTCACATCAAAAAGGACTTCCATAGTAGCACCAGTGCCTTCTCTACCATGCTGTGAGTTTCCTGAGATCTGCGGACATGTTTTATTCATCTCAGTGCTCCCAGGCCGACAGGAGCTCAGGGATTGATCCATTTTAACTATGTTGCAAACAGAAAACAGAAGAGACAGATAAATGAAAGGCAACCCTCAAGATTGGCCACCGTAACTAAGGTCCTTAAGAAGAAATATGGTCCGTAGAATCACATGACCCAAGGCCACTCCTGAAGAGTCAGGACAAGAGGCTAAGACCTTCCCTGCACTCCTTGGAGCAGCAAGGTGACAAGGATGGAGCTGCTGGAGCTCGTCACCACCAGGAATGGGGTCAATTCAGAAGAGAGCAAAGGTAAGAAATGCCAAGATGGGGTTGTCTAGCCAGGGCTACACCTGACCTATTCAGTTCCATCATCAAATACAGTCTCTTTCTGCTTGAGCCAGTGTGGGCTGAGTCTTATATGGCATACAACTAAAAAAGTATTTTCGATAACACAGTGATCCACAGAGGTGGAGATAACAATTTAGCATTACAGGAGACAAGCCATACGGAATCGAAAGTCAGGATTCAGAAGCTGGAAGTAAAGGCTGGGTAGATCTGGGCAAAATCAACAGTTTCTCATCACTGGGTTTCTGAAATCCGTCAGCAATCTTATCTGATTTTCACTCTCTTTAAAAGCAAGGATTTAAAAGACAGATTATCAAAATTCAGTATCCGATCAATTTTAGCAGGGCTTGCTGCCCCTTTACGTAGTAACACTTTGCTCTTTGCCATTCTAGAGCTACGTTTAAATGCATATTATATACTCATACACACATAATCAAACAGCACCAAAGAGGTAAGCAGGAAAAAGAAAGTCCACAGCCCCCCGCAACTACCAGTTTCCCTTCCCAAAGGTATCCATTGTTGCCAGTTTCTTGTCTCTCCATTCCAAAAATATTCTGTACACAATACAACCACATATGTATTTTGCACGTATATTTCTTTTTCTCCCCCTTCATCCAAATAGTGTTCTATGTACCCACTTGGTCACTGAATATATATTGGAGATATTTCTGTACCAGTACCTACAGGTGTATGTTCTTTTTTAACAGCTGTGTAGTGATGTCCCTGAGAGTCCCTCATCCTGGGGATGGATCGTAATTTAGCAGTTCCCTCCTGACAGACATTTATGGAATTTCTTTGCTTTTGCCCCCACAGAAAATGTTACAAGTTATAACCCTGAACATAGGCCTTTTATCACCTGGGTGGGTATAAGTCCCTAGAAGTAACAGTCCCTTTTCCCCATTTGGGACCTAACAGAGTCAACAACGTTGACAGCTGGAAGGATTAATCCCCATTCCCACCTCACGTACCCTACACCTGGGCTTCCCTTTTACTTTTCTTAATATGTTTTGTTTCGGCAGTTTTCTGATAGGTTCAGACAAGGAGGTGTCTTTGATGGACGCTGAAAACAAAACATACAGAGGCACAATTCTACTGCAGAATCCAAACCACCTTGTAAGATATTCCCCCGCCACCTTTTTTATAGGCCTTGAAGAAAATCATTTGAACCTACACCTAGTGGTGTACGTGAGGCTTGTGGGCATAGGCTGCACTATTAGAGTTACACAGTGTAGTAATCACATGTCCGTGTCCCTGGAGGTTGCCCATCCTCTCATGCTTATCCCTTCTTCGTGTTTTTTTTTTTCCCTGTCCTTTCCCACCTTTAACATATCCTGCAGCATCCTTTTAGCCTGTTTTCCTCCAGTCTAATTATTCTTCAATTTTAAATAATGTAATAACTTTGACATTTTCATTTATAGTTAAGCCACGCTAATTTGCACAAATGACGGGTAGACACAGCACAAATTAACAAGCCTGAAAAAATCAGCAAACACCCAAAAAGTCAATGATTAAAAAGAAATCAGGCTTCTGCATTATGAAATGCACGTTTATTTTTACAAGCAATTTCTGCAGACTCGTGAGAAAAGTATGGAGCAGTGACACTTGGCTGCTTTCTCATGTTCTCCCTTTTCTAAGCTATAGGGTTACTTTCTCTGCATGGTCTTCAGTGACGATGTTTTCTGGATGAAATATCAGGACTTAGAAGCCTAAGTCGTTCTGAGTACAAAGTTCAAAAGGTAGTCTGTGAGCTCAGTTTTGCTCCCATAATATAGGAATTTCTGGCATTCCTGGTTACAAGAGAGAAAAAAAGACGGAAACGGTTCTTCCCTGAAAAATCTGAGATGTGTCTAATCCAGTTTATCTTCCAACTCCACATTAGGGCTCTCCCAACACGCTACTCGCTCAGCCAGTATCTCCATCAGAGATGGTCACGTCGGAAATCTAGGTGGCATCATTAACCATTCCCTCACTCTCACATCCCTTACTCTATCCATCAGTGATTGCTGCCTAATTTTAACCCCTAAGTATATTCTTTTTAAATTTTTATTTTTTAATCAACAAACAATAAATGACTGTATATATGCATGGTGATGTTTACATAAAGTGATGTTTCAATACATATAATGCACAGTGATCATGTAAGAGTGATAGGCACATCTGTCATCTCAAACATTAATCATTTCTGGGTGTTGGGAATGTTCAGAATCCTCCTCCTAGCTGTTTGAGACTAATTATGTATTGCTGTTAAGTATACAGTCATCCTACAGTGGTATAGAACAACAGAATTTATTCCTCCAACCTAGCTGTAATTTTGTATCCTTTAACAAATCTCTCCCTTCCCCCTACACTTCCCAGCCTCTAGTATCCTCTGTTCTACTTTTTACTTCTATGAGACCAACCTTTTTTTTTTCTTTTTTCACTCTTTCGCCCAAGCTGGAGTGCAGTGGCACAATCTCGGCCCACTGCAAGCTCCGCCTCCCGGGTTCACACCATTCTCCTGCCTCAGCCTCCCGAGTAGCTGGGACTACAGGCGTCTGCCACCACGCCGGCTAACTTTTTGTATTTTTAGTAGAGATGGGGTTTCACCGTGTTAGCCAGGATGGTCTCGATCTCCTGACCTCGTGATCAGCCTGACTCGGCCTCCCAAAGTCCTGGGATTACAGGTGTGAGCCACCATGCCCAGCTGAACAACTTTTTTTTTTAACTTCCACATATGAGTGAGAACATGTGGTGTTTAACTTTCTCTTCCTGGCTTATTTCACTTAACACAATGTCCTCCAGTTCCATCGATGTTGCCACAAATGACAAGATTTCAGTCTTTTTTAGTGCTGAGTAGTATTCCATGGCGTATATACAGCACAATTTCCTTATCCGTTCATGTGTTGTTGGACAGCCTTTAAAGACTTCTTCTTCCTTCCCTGTCCACTATCAACACCACAGTCCAAACGACAGCCTGGTCCACAACAGCCTCTTGCCACATGCATTAGTCCGATGACTGCAGCCTCCAACTCCTCCCTGCATATTATGTTCCAGCCATACAGGCCTTATTTCTTTGCTTCAAGCATGCCAAGTTCACTCCCACCCGGAAGCATTGATCTTTCCCTAATCCTTACATGTCTAACTCCTTTTCATCTCAACTAAACTGTTTACCTTCAAAGAGGCATTTTCCCTAATTAAAAGAAAAAAAAAAAATGCTGTTGGAGTATTCATTTAATTAATTAATTAATTTTTTTAGGGTGGAGGTCTTCACTCTACTGCCTAGAGTGGGGTAAGGTGGTGGGATCACAGCTCTCTGAGGGTCCAGTTTTGTCTTTGTTGGTTCACTAATATAAACTCAGCAAAGAATGCTGTGGCTGGCACACAGGAAAAGCCCAAATATGTGATCAAAGCATGAGCCAATGAAGAGTGTGGTCATTTGGATTGCCGACTTCAAGTCCTGGCCACAACACACACGAAGGATATGACCTGGGCATGCTGGGTGAATGGCTGCTCCCTCTCTGTGCCTGCGGGAAACAGTAGCCCCTACCTAACCAAGAGAAACCAGATTTTTCTGAAGTTGAAATGAAATTATACATAAGAGCATTAAGCAGGGCCTGACACACAGCAAACATTCAATAATTAGCTACTGTCATCAATACCTTTTGATATTATTCCTGTTTTTTACAGTCAGAAAAGTCTTAGATAAATTAAAAAGGAGTAAGAGATTTGTCTTCTCTGATATTCTCC